AAAGGACTTGTAGCACTAGAAGAAGAGACACTAAACGTGTGGGGCAGTCAGGAAAGTTGGCAATGCAGTTTGAATGATTTTAACATGATCATTTGAAAGAACTCTTACTTCCTTTTTAATTTGAAATTAGTGTGCCCCGTACTTCTCAATCCTAGCATAAGGTCTTACCACCATTGCTGTTATCCTGAGAAAGGTTTTAGTGGAAATACTAACTTGAAGACAAGGATTAGAACTAATCAGTTGTCATTTAGATGCCTGCAAACTTTGGTCTGGGTTATTTATAGTCACTTAAAAGGTCAGAATTTATTTTTCCTAGTCTTTCAAGTAGGATAATACATGATATCCTTTAACCAATATAGGGGCTGCTGGGGCTCAGGAAGGTCTCGGGTTTGGAGGATGTGTGTGAGCTGAAGAGACTAGAGCAGGGGTTCTCTGGACGGGAACGTGGGAACCTGGTCTAAGTGCAAATTCCCTCAGACCTATCCCAGACCTACTTTGTAAATAAGCCCTCTGGGTGATTCTGATGCAGCGGAGGGCTTGAGGGCCACTGGTTTAAGAGGATATCCTGCCTCAAACGGAAGAGGAGCTGTAATGGAAAAAGCAGAGAAACAGACGTGCACGTGGAGCACACCCAATCTACAAATCCAGAGTGGTGATGAGTTTTCTTCTAAGACAGAGGATACGGCCTTCCATTCTGCATTGTGATTCCTGACTCCCGTTCAGAGGTCGCCACAATGAACTATTAGGTACACCTCATCCTGTGAAATTCTGGGATTAGCATAGTGGCAGGAGGTGGATATTTATTGAGAACCTATTATTTATGACAGACAATGAGTAATGCCTTTGCATACATGGTCTTATTTCATGCTTACTAACCAATTTAGATTTGGTGTGATTAGTTCTATTTTGCAAATACAGAGACAGGCTCAAAGGGCTTCAGTACCATGCATGGGCCGTGTGCCACACAACCAGGAAGCAATAGGGCTGGGTTTACATCCAGAAGGAAATGAGTAACAGGTGGTGTTAATGTAGGGCTAAGTTTTATTGTTTTAGGGTTTAACTTCTTTGGTTTCTCCAAAAGGTATTGCAAAATCTAAATAAGAACTCAATTTCTGCCACTTACCCCCAAGTTTTCTAAAGATTATGTCTATGAAATTTGAGGTCTCGGGAAGCATTTTCCTAGCCAGTCCTAATGATTAATAGGTTGGTTCCTCATACAGCTTCTCCAGGGGCCCGAGAGAAATGTGCTCCAGGACTTAGAGCCTGCTGTCAGGCAAAGGACAATCACCGGAAACCGTGAGGAAGTGAACTTTATATTAAGTCCCAGCACTATCTAAGGAAATCTAAGGTTGTGCCCTCCTCTTCTGAGATTTTATGAAAACATGCTCTCTCAAGTCTTGCTGAGTTAGCAAATGTGCCTGAAAAAGTGCCAATGAGGTCCTGTTGGTCATCGTCATTGGCAGTATTTTTGGTTTTTTATATAAAGCATCTTCCCAGAGGGGACAGGCACACAAATGCACAGGCTTGTAGGAAGCCCAGACTGTCTGGGCTCCCTTGGTTTCTGACTCTGCCATTTTCCCTTCCCATGCCGATCAATTTATTTGAGCCTTGGTCATCTCCAGGGTGAGTTAGGGGCACTTAACAAATTTGGGGGCGTGCATAAAAGGACACAGCCATTTTCACACTCTATCAAGTATCCTAAGAGGGTTTGAGGGTAATAAATTCTGTGTAAATAACCACTTATTGTCTAGCACTTGGAGAGTTTAATTATTCCTTTTGGTACTGAGGTTTCAACTGATGGCACAAGATGAACTATGATGATCTGGGCTGTGTAGTTTATTCTTCATCTTGCTCTTAGCACGGTTAATATGTGTCTCAGATTCAACCCCTTCAGGCAGGTGTTCTCCAAAAAACTTTGCCTCAAACTTTGGGATGATTTTGCCATCTCAAAAGCGATGTCTTATGCTAATGAGATGAATAATCTAAAAAGACCATGGCAAAAACAATGCAACCAGACTGTCATTTATTAATACAAATTTATATAGTGGCATATGCTACTGGAGAAATCAGAAATTCATAACACACAAGTTGGTATTAGAAATACAAAAATCATTTGAGTCAAGAAATCAGGTTGACAGCACCACAAATGTTTCACTCAGTCTGAGCATGTGTGTTGTACCCAAGAATAATGAACAGCTACATGACACTGAGACTAAATATCATATGACCATGCAAACACATTGCAACACCACTTCCACACCCAAGAATAGGAGTCCGCAGGAGGCTCCAGGACCTCCGGGGGTCGATAAAAGGACAGAAAAAAGGTGCCGACTCTTCTTTCTTTCAGCCTTCACAGCCAGCATGAGAAAGCAAAGAGCCACCCCTGAGGGTTTTTTGTTCCTTCTCGCCTAAAGGCATGGTATAAAGGATTAGTAAAACACACACATTAGTGAGCGAGTAAGAGAAATCGAAAAGAGGGCTTGGACAGAAATATAATCCCACATCAGTCACCAAATTATCTGATTCCTATTGTGAAATATAAAACATAAACAAAAGGAAAAGCTGTATCAAAGGAGGAAATCCCAGCTTCACATCTCTTAACACTTTCTATTTAATAAGTGTGCATCCACTAGAGAAGTATCAGCATTTGGAAAAAGGGTCTGTAGTGGGGGAAAGTGCAGGATGGAAGGGAGGCAGGAATGGTCCAAGGCTTTCCTCTCACACAGGGAGTTCACCATCCCAAGGTCCTCACAGGATGTTGTCCTGATCACTCCAGACCACAAACATGGAGGCTCAGAGCACTTGGAGGTCTCAGTCCCCATTTTTTCCCACCTTAGCTTCGCACTGCCACACGTCTGCATTCTTCCCATGCGTGTGTCCTACTTAGCAATAGTGGAAGGGATGTGCAAGAAGAATATTTGAGCAAATGAAATGGTGCTGCTTTCATGTGTAAGCATTCTGGCAACTAGGAACGATAAATAACAGGCCAAGTCAAAAGTTGTTCCACAAACAATAGGCTTCCTGTCCTTGCAGAATTAGCATTAACCGTCTAGGTTGCTCTGGAGATGATTCCACCCTGGCTGATAAGCCCTCCAGCCATGAGACGCCAACTCTGGATGTTCACGAGGCTGATACAGAAGTTCTGCCCCAAACTGCCCAAGCTGGTCTCAACTAGCACGTGACCAGTCAGGAGGTTTAGGCTCTGGGCTCACCTCAATCCATCCTCTCCTGAAAACTTCACTCACCTCAGAAAGCTAAGTCAGACTTTCCTCTAAAAGCCTGCTCTGCTCTGGAGGCTGATTCAGTTTCATCTTCCGCTAATACATTATTATGATTTTTCTATTCAATCCTCCTTAAGACCACTGCTAGATTCATGCCTATGTCAAGTGGTGCTTCTTTGTCCCAATGAGATTACTTTACAATCACAAAGATTTACTTTTCCAAGCAGAAAAGACAGTTTCGGGGTTTTTTTTTTTTTTTCTTCTTTACCTTCCCTTGTGAAATTGCCACCATCATCTCTCACCTCCCCTTCCCGAATTTATTCCTCTACCATTCACCCATGACACCATTCATTTGTTTAGCAACAGATATTTCTGGAGTGCTTGTTTTGTGCAAGGCACTGCTGAAGAACCAAAGGCACAGGTTACAAGGTCCTTTACTCAAGAGCTTGAGTCTGGTAGAGATGCTTAAAACCTTTCATGGCTCGGTCTTTCTTTTAGAACCTTTTAGAACCAAAGCGTTTGCAGTTTGGAATGTCCTCAAAGGGCTTGGGTCATTCTAATACAAATATTACACAACATGAATGCTCTTATTATTTGCTCAGTGATTATGGTGTGCCATGCATCAGGAAGAGAACATGTCTTTTCCTCCTCAGTAATGAAACTGTGCCTTCATTTCAAAACAACATGACATGCATGCTTATGTTTTTGCCAGTAAGGCAAAAACGAACAAGAAACACAAAAGCAAGCCATGTGCATACTTCATACAAAATCATTAAGCTGCTATTTGAACACTAAATCATTTTAAAGCCATGTGTTTATGGCTTTGTCATGTGCTGATATGGTAAAATAAATGCCTGAGCTACCAAAAGGAACCCCTTGTTTTTTATCTTGTTTTGCAGCGTTCTTTGTCAGGCAGGATGTCTTCACGTGTCCTTGGTGCAGTGTAAACCAGGTGGGCACAGGGATGCACCCCTTGGCCTCGGTACAGTCCATCACTAATATGTTTCAGGTGCTTGTCAGTCTCCCTCTTCCCCCAGGGTTTCAGTCTGCCCTTCTGGGGGGTTCTGCTGTGCCAGATATCTAACAGGTTGGGGGGAGGGTGGGGGAGAGGAAGTCCTGAGGTTTCTCCCCGCAAGTTGTGGAAAAGAGCTCTCATCTAGAGAACCTTGAAACCCCCAGATGAAAAGGCTCTGAACTTGCAAAGGACAGTTCGAGGCCATGGAGTGCAAGCTGTCAAGCAGACGCAATGAGCAAATATATAGGTTGTGCTGATTAGCAGAATTTTGAATGGAATCTGAGTGTCAGCAATCCAAACTGCTGTCCACAGGCCCAGGAAAAGCCCAAGTAGAAGAAAGCTGGAGGTGGGGGAGGAAACCAATGGCCCTGAACATCCTGCTCCCTGCCCCTCTGGAGATCTGCCACCATACATTTCCCAGTCTGCTGAATTCCATCAGCTAGGTGAATAGTCTACACCCTGCCCCATACGGAGATAGTTGCTTTCTAAGACCAGCCTTACGGAAGGTGCAGTCTGTAGCTGCTGACACTATTAAAGGGATCCACCAAAAGAAGGCTGCTCCAAAACTCTGGGGTCTCATGGTTCTTTGTTTAATGAGGTAGCTCAGTTGTGAGTTGATGCATGTGATGTATGCCTCCCGCCACTCAAAGCTATAGTTTTCCCTTTTTAATCTGCAAGATTATAAAAATACCAGTATTTCCCCTCCCCCTCCCCCATTTTATAAAAATGGTTTTAGAAAAAAAAATACACATTGGTCTCCCCCATTACACTTCTGTTCCATCTTGCAAATTGTTGTGAACTCTGACTTCCAGATTCAATTTTTTTACTTTAGCACCTTTGAGTGCATAAGCCCCCTCAGTTTCACTCAGTAGGTTGACATTCCGCACGGTGCAGTAGTGTCTGTTCACGTTCTTCTCCACCCTGTCCGAGCTCCTCTTAGACACATCCACTTTGGTGTTCAGAGGGTATTCCTCCAAAATGTCCTCTGTGGGCAGTTTCTTTCTCTGCTTCTGGCATTTCCTGGTGATGAAACAAGCCACTAGAAACACCAGAAGTAGAAGCATGATAGCGGCCAGGGCACTGCCGATAGATGCCCCAGTTTGGGAAAGAGAAGCAGCTATAACCGGCTCGTGCATCTCAAGATTCAGGGACTTCATGTTAGTGCCATTCTTGACTTGGTCCCCTTCATTGTCATAGATGAGGGAATCGTCAAGGGTCAGACGGCCACTAGGGTCCACCAGGTCCCTCCGGTTGCGCCTCAGAGGGGCTGTGAGAGAGCGCTGGACCCGGGGTCCTGCCATGGTGTCAGGGCCAATGATGTAGATCACCTGGAGATACCACTGGTGTCCTGCTTCCACCTGCAGGAGGAGGGAAACAGAGACACAAACTGAACATGTCACTGCTGCCCACAGACCACTTCTTCACAAAGAAAATGGAAAGGGGCGCCTGGGTGGCTCAGCCCCTTAAACATCCAACTTTGGATTTCGGCTCAAGTCATGATCTCATGGTTTGTGAGTTTGAGCCCCTCAATGGGGTTTGCACTGATGGTGCAGAGCCTACTTGGGATTCTCTCTCTCTCTCTCTCTCTCTCTCTCTGCCCCTCCCCAACTCATGTGTGCTCTCTCTCCCAATAAATAAATAAACAAATAAATAAACAAAATTAAAAAAAAGAAAGGATATGGAAAGACAATTGCCGTCACAAGCCTTGATAAATGGTTTCAAGAAAAGCATTAGCGGGGCGCCTGGGTGGCGCAGTCGGTTAAGCGTCCGACTTCAGCCAGGTCACGATCTCGCGGTCCGTGAGTTCGAGCCCCGCGTCGGGCTCTGGGCTGATGGCTCAGAGCCTGGAGCCTGTTTCCGATTCTGTGTCTCCCTCTCTCTCTGCCCCTCCCCCGTTCATGCTCTGTCTCTCTCTGTCCCAAAAATAAATAAACGTTGAAAAAAAAAAAATTTAAAAAAAAAAAAAGAAAAGCATTAGCAATGATTGGCGTCTACTAATCAAGAATTGAACCAAATATTACAGGTTCCATTTTGTTTCCAATTTGGGGTGATTGTGGGCCAGCTATTCACATTCCCTTCTGTTTCCCTGTGTATGGAACAGCCCTAAGCATTTATTTTTTATGGCCTTTTTAGCTAAATACTTATGATTTGTTAGTCTTTACTGATTGCAGTGAAGTAATAGTATTAAGAGCCATATTCATTCCCAGTGAACTTCAATAGCTTGTTATGCTAACTTACTATTTATTGATGAACTTTATTTAAGATAGAGTCGTTCAACAAATATCTGCTAAACACCTACTCTGTGCAAAATATGCAGATACATGACAAAAATTTCCTAAATCTGAACACTTCCTGGATCATCCCCTGAATGGTTAAGCCACCGTGTATTTTACTGCCATATCATCTGTCCCCATTGAAAGCCTCCATGGTTTTGAACTAACTTCTAAAGAGTGGCAATAGTTCTTTAATCCAAGGTCATAGATTACTACTATTTAGAGATAGGAAAAAGTGGAATTTTATCTTGTTAAGTTCATGTTTATTACTGGGATTGAGAGTATTTTTGCTTATCAAATACTAGTACTTCTTGCCATTCTAAATTGCTATACTGTATGTATAATTTTGTTAAACACTTTCCACATGCCTGTGAAGATCAGCTGGTGTGGCATACAGCCAAAAAGGCGATAGAAAAGAATTTAGGAAAAACTGGAGTGCCATATGCACCCCTGACGCATACACTGACAAGTGACAACATGCAAATTAAAGAATTTGATTATTGCTGCGGTCTATTGGGATAGGTGGTGAAAATAGGTCTATTGGGATAGGTTTGGGGTGAATGATAAGCTTAACACTAATAAAAAAGACCCACTAGCAAGAACACTATAAAGAGACTAACAGTCCAGAGATAATAGCATCTTCCTTTTCACAACTTTTACAGTGGCCTTGGTCCTATGCTTCTACGTTTCTCAGCACACTCACCTTATAGAGTGCATCCACTTTCAGAGTAAATCCATCCACACCCGGCATGCTACTGACCACATGGAAATCAGGCAACTCGGAAGCAAAGTGGGCCTCAAAGGGCACATCATGGAAGTACTTATCAGTGACCTCGGGCTGATTGCGGTCCTAGAATTTCAGAAAAAAGAAATGCAAGGTTTAAAAAGATAAAAAGATAGAATCACTGAACTGGCAGGTGGGTCAGTGGGTTGGGTCAGGAGGGCATGTGCTACAGAAGCCCTTTCCTTAAGTCAACCACTGCCCTCTTCAAGGAAGGACACTTGGTGGCTACTCAGATCTCAAAGCTCAAAGAGTGGGATAATCTAAACAAATAATTCTTAAACCATTTGGTCTCAGGACCCCTCACACACTTAAAACTCAAGGATACCAATGGGTACCTGAGCAACTCAGTTGGGTGAGTGTCTGACTCTTGATTTTGGCTCAGGTCATGATCTTGTGTTTCATGAGTTCGAGTCCTGCAACAGTCTCTGTACTGGTGGCACAGAGCCTGCTTGGAATTCTCTCTCTCTCCTCCTTCTTGGCTCTTCTCCCACTTATGCGTTCTTGCTCTCTCCCTCGCTCTCTCCCCTTTTCTCAAAAATAGATAAATAAACTTAAAAAAACAAACGAACCAAGGACACTAAAGTCTTTTGTTCACATGGTTTGTATCTATCAATGTTTACTCTATTAAAATTAACACTGAAAAATTAGAAAATACTTACTAATTCATTTTAAAGTGGCAATGAAAAACCCATTGCATGTTAACATAAATAACATTTTTTTAGGGAAAATACCTATAGTCACCACCATCTCCTCAAAAGAGACCTGGCATTGTTTTACATTTTTGCAAATCTCTGGAAAAGAACTAGATTCTCAAAACTTCTATAGTGAATCAGCTGTAATATGTTACTTTGGTTGAAGTATATGAAGAAAATTTGGCCTCACACAGATATGTAGTTGGAAAAGGGAGGAATATTTTCATACCTTTTTCAGATAATTGTGGATATTCTGTTTTCATACTAAATCAAACTTGGTAATTAGTATTTTTAAAAGATTAGTTATAATGTGGAATTTGAAACCATATCAATAAACCTTTCATACTCTCTATATTCATGAGGGAATTAGTGTGAAGAAAAGCAGCCATCATCATATTATGAAAGTAGTTTTGACCTTGTGGATTCCCTGAAAGAGAATCAGGGATATTCAGAAGTCTCTGGTCTGTACTTTGAGAAACACTGGCCTTGACTTTCCTTTTCTTGTGACATTAATAAAAGCCTGTCTTGTTACCTGCCATAACCATGCACATCTGGTAATATGTACTAGCATTTAGCTGATCAGAGATGAACAATAATAATATGTATAGAGAGAATACCATCAAGAGTGGGGTTCTATCTGCTTAGGCAGAATTCATAGCTGAGGAAATCAACTCGAGTGTCAGCTGTTGAACACAAATAGTTAGCATACCAACAGCAGAAATCTGTGTTTTAGGTGTTTGTTGGGCTGAATGCATCCATACTGCGGCCCCTCATTGTAGATTGTACCCGTGGGATCGAAGAAAGGCACATAGCCATCCTTGCCGGTACAAAGATAGACTTTTTCCAGCTGGAGTTTGTAAGCAGAATTAAGGTTTTGTTCTGGATTCCAAAGTACTCGGCCATAAAGGATTTGCCCTGGAAAGATTTGAGAGGCATTAATTAGGTCAGACTTTAAGAGTAAAGAGAAAGAAATGTCAAGGGTAGAAAGGATTTAACACACTCCCTCAGAGTCAAAAGTACATCTCTATGAAGAGCTCTATGTTTCCAAGTGCCCCTGAAATATTCATTCATTTACAGCTTCTTTCATTCAACAAACATTAAGTAAGCATGTAAGGTGTATCAAGAACTGTTAGGCACAGGGGAAACAAAGGTGGGTGAGATACAGGTGAGAGGACAGAAATTAACCCTAACCAATTGCTAAAAGTAGCTAACATTTATCAGACTCATATGATTTGCTAGGTCTTGTACTAAGTTCTTCCAATATGAGAACTCACATAGTGCTTACAACTTTAGAGATGAGAAAGTTGCAGCACTGAGTGGTTAAGGGACTTGTTGAAGGTCACAGAGCTAGTAAGTGGTGATGGTAGGATTCAAAGTGAAGGTATTTTGGTTCTAAAACCCACATTATTAGCCACCACAATACTGTACTGTTATGAACCACAATAAAGGAAGGAACATAATGTTATGTGAGCATATAGCCAAGCACAGAAATCTGCCTGGGGAGAGGTGTAGAAAGATTTAAAGAGGAAACAAACATGAGTATCCTAAAACATGAGTAGGCATTTGCCAGACAGCACATTTGAAGTAGGAGACTGGGGAGAGCATTTGAGGCAAAAGAAAGTCCATGCACAAAATACTGAATGCTGGAAGGGCATGAGTCCTAGTAAAGTTCCTGTCTCCTTAGTGCCTGCTATGGCACCACATTCTTTACCTATACTATCTTATTTATTCCTCCCAAGAGCCCAAGAAATAGGTCCAGTTATTATCCACATTTTAAATACTGTGTCCAAGATTTTGTATCTGTGACAAGGTGGGGGGATAAGAAATTGAGCACAAATCAGTCTGACTCCAAATGCTTGTCCAGATCATTTGCTATGTGGCACTGAGTAGGTCAGTGTGACTAGAGAGGAGGCTGTTCACAGGTTCTAGCAGGAGACACTCCTGGGATGATAGGCTAAGGATGCTGGGGAGGCTGGACTTTGGTGTGTAAGAAATAGGGAACACTGAAAGATTTTAAGCATGGGTGTAATATCAACACACTGGGGCTTCAGAAACATGGAGAATGGAGGAAAGACAAAGGGTCTAGAGTCACAGAGATTGGGAAGGGGGCTCTGTGAGAGATAGGTATCTATAACATAGCTGTGAATCAAGGGGATAAACTCAAGAAATGTCTTGGAGTCAGATTCCACTGATCTTAATGACAGACAGGAGGACAATCCTGAGGTTTTTTCCCTGGGCACCTGGAGTATGATGCAATCACTGTGGCAGTGGATGTGGCAGGAGTATGTCTGGAGGAAGATAAGTCCAGTTCTAGACACTTCCAGGCATCTGAAAGACATTCATTTGAAGCACTTTGGTAGTTCCAGAGCCCCATGTGGAAATGTGGAAATGAAGTTCAGGAGAGATCAGGGATAAGGTCGACTCTTAAGGAATGGCTGTGAAGTAGTAGATAGGAAGTTCAGAGCAAAGCGATGGGCCCAGCCATAGGGATGGTCAGAGGTAGCACTGGAGTGATGTCAGAAGGAACCAAGCATGGGACCTGGGGACAGCAACATGGATATGGCAGAGGATGAAGACCCAGGGCGGGAGAGTGAGAAGTGGTCAGAGAAGCAAGATGATGTCAGGTGAGGGTGGTGCAAAGGAAACCCAACAGGGAAAAGTGTGAAAACCCACTAATTTGGTGTCATTGACAAAAGAGATGTCTGAGCTGTGGTAGGACAAACCCAGCTTGCAACAGATGGACAGAGAAGAAGGGCCATAGAGACAGTGAATGTTCACTCTTTGAAGAAGTTTCTCAGAGAAAAGAAAAGGAGAAAACAGCCTTAACTTTGAAGGGGAGTTAGGGTTGAGGGATGCTTTTTTCTCTCTTACAGGCAGAACTTGAGTGTGTTTATAGGGTGAGAGAAAAAACTCAGATATGAGGAGAAGATTAAAAGTAAGAAAAAGGCAGAAGGGGTAATTGAGAGAAGAAAGGCAGATAATTGACTAATTCTTTTATTCAATCAATCAATGTTTATTGAGCACCTAGGCACTGATGGTATGGTGTGCACATTTGATATTTGATCACAACCTCTATTATCATGGAACTCACAGTCTAGTGGAAGAAATAGGCAACAAATAAGTAAAGAAATATGTGATATGTATTATAGAATATTAAAAATTGTGAGAAGTACTATCAAAAATGAATAACATTCCGTGAAAGTGAAAACAATGGAGGCCTACGCTCAGTTGTCAGGTGTGGTCAGGGAAGGCCTCTTTGAGGAGGTTCATATTTAAGTAGAGAAGAGAAGAAGGAGCCAACCTTTTGAAACATCAAGAAAACCACATTTGAGGTGAGGAGGGAGCACAGGAATCATTTTCAGTAGAGAAAGCATGATGGAGAGGACGTAGACATTTACACCTTGAGGCTGGTACGTAGTAGGGGTCATGCTACGTACTTTCTCTGAGTAATTGAGAGATAGAGAGACTTACTCAAAGTCAAGACAGTGTGTTAGAATCAGTCTGGGAATTCCAGTCTTCTTACCACTCAGACCAGTGTTTTCCACAATTCTACCACCCTGCCAATCATTATAGCACCACATATGTAATCTTATTTTGAAACAGAGTGAAAGAAGGATGTGGGTCTGTTCCTTGGTTAAACCTTGGCTGCCCTAAAACCAAGCCCAGGGGAATCTTCACGGGAGAGTTGCCTGGAAGCTAATGAGCAGAGACCTGTCCTAAAGCATCTCAAGTCTGATCAGAGTCTCTTTTTGTAGGTGAAGGAAACAACTTACCTTTTGAGAAGGCCCCTTTATAATCCATTTCTGCCAGTGACATATCAGATGTATTGGGATCCATTAGGAATACCTTCTCATTATTGCAGAGCTGAAATTCAGTATTGAGCGAGTACACAACTGGTACAGGGCGGTTGGTCTGCTGGAATGCAATGGGGATCAGGAATCTAAATGTGGGAGAAACAAGAGCTCCTTGAGAGCAGGGTCAACTTTGTAAACTTCGAGCTGCCCTCCCTTCCTACCCTTCTCAGGTTTGTGAACAGAGCTTTGTTGCAGGTGCTAAATGATCACTGAATAAAGAGATGTGTGTGGGAGAGGCACTTTATTAGTTTGGGTCATTATGAGGTTAATCTGCTCTTTTGAGCAGAAATAATCTAATTCATCTTTAGAACTCTTTTGTACTCTCTGCTTTTCCTGGCGCTTTCATTCTGAAGGTCCCCAAGGTTGCTCTTTGATTGCTAAAGGACTCACTGCCATGGTGCTCTGCTTAGACTTCTCTGTCCCAGATCTTCATACTCTGAGACTTTGACTTTTTCAATTAGATCCAAACTTATTTATCCTTTGTCCCACTCTTTAAGACATTTCTAGACAATACTCTCTTGCCTCACTCCCTACTTTAACCTCCCTGGCCTTCTTTCTTGGTCTTTTAAATCTGCTCTTTTCTTCTCAGCCTTTGGCAGGTAAGGGCTCCTCCAGCCAGACTGGCTTTCTTTAGGTCTCTTGATGTGTTCTCTACTCCAAATTTTCACTGCCTCGGGACTCACTGTTCAACAAATATTCACTGTGCTTTTATTATAAGATAGACATTGTTCTAGTAATGGGAATCCATCTGTGAACAAAGTAGAAAAATATATGCCCTCGGGGACATTGCATTCCAATAGGAAGACAGTTAATAAAGTAAGTTCAAAAACATATAGTACATTAGAAGGAAGCAGGTGATGAAGAGAAACACTAGGCAGAGAAAAGGAATGCTAGGAAGAAGTTAAGCTGGAACTTTTAAATGTGGAGGGCATGGAAGGCCTCAGTGAGAGGAAAACTAGGAGGTTAGAGGTACCCTTACCTGAGATGGGAAAACTGTGGGAGGACTAGATTTGGTGGAGAAAGATAAGGGATTAAGCAACAGGCATGTTCAACTTGGGAGGCCTATAAGAGAGCCAGGTGGAGATGCTGAGCAGTCAATCTGATGCACAAGTCTGGATCTGAGAGGTAAGCCCTGGGCTGAAGGTGCTCCTTTGCATTTAAAACCTTAAGAATGAATGAATGAAACCACCACATGAAAACCGAGAAGGGGAGTACAGTGATTCCTCAGAAAGTTAAAGATAGAGCTACCCTATGACTCAGCAACTGCACTACTAGGTATTTAGCCAAAGAATACAAAAATACTGACTTCAAGGGGCATACGCACCCCAATGTATTTAGCAGCACTATCAACAATAGCCAAATTATAGAAAAAGCCCAAATGTCCATCGATTGATCAATGGATAAAGAAGATGTATATACACGATGGAATGTTACACAGCCATCAAAAGAATGAAATTTTGCCATTTTCAGCAATGTGGATGGAGCTAGAGAGTATTATGCTAAGCAAAATAAGTCAGAGAACATACGATTTCACTCATATGTGGAATTTAAGAAGAATAATAGATGAACATAGAGGAAGGGAAGGAAAAATAAGATAAAAACAGAGAGAGGCAAACTCTAAGAGACTCTTAACTATAGAAAACAAACTGAGGGTTGCTGAAGGGGAAATAGGTGGGGGATGGGCCAAATGGGTGAGGGTTATTAAGGAGGGCACTTGTGATAAGCACTTGGTTGTACGTAAGTGATGAATCACTGAACTCTGCTCCTGAGACCAATACTACACTATATGTTAACTCACTTGAATTAACATAAAATCTTGGAAAGAAAAAAAAAAAAAGAAGAAAACAGAGAAGAGACAGGTCAGACATGACACTTAGGGCACTCAAATTCAAAAACAATAGAAAAGAGAAGGAACCAGCAGGGCAGATGGTGAGGAAAAGCCAGTGGCGTACACGGAAAACCTACAGAGCACGACAGTCCAGCTGAGTGAAGAAAGCGTCTCCAGGAGGAGACTGAACAACTGCTAAATGTTGTGAAGCCATCACAAAAATCAAGATAAGACTTAACCCCTGGTTCTAGTAAGACACAGTCACTGGTGACCTTGATAAGATCAAGCTGGGTTAAGGGATGAGAGCAGAAGCGTCACTGCAGCAGGCTCCAGAGATAATGGAAGGTGACAAACCGGAAATTGTGAATCTAGGCGACTTTTAAGGGACAGCTTAACGTACAAGGAAGGAGAAAAATGGGTGGGGAGGGTGAAACGGGGTCAAGAAGGGACTTTTATTTTTTAGAGATGGGAAAAGTTACGTTTTCAATGCTGATTGGAATGATTCATAGAGAGAACTGCTCCTTTATAAGATGCTCTTTATAAAGTAGAGAGGATTTGGGTTCCAGTGCACAAGTGGAGCCGCTGGCTGTGAGCAGGAGCCAGGGCTGTTCCTGCATTCCGACGGGTGTGCATGTGCAGATGCAGGAGGTCAGCAGATAGGACAGTAGGAGCTTGGGTGAGTTCTCTTCTGGTGTCTTCTGTTTCCTCCATGAAATAGGACACAAAATAATCAGCTGAGGGTGAGGACCGGGGAGATACAGCAATCTGAGTGGGAAGGAGAAGGAGTAAAACAGTTGAGAAGAATGGGAGAGTGAAGCCATTGGTTAGGGGACCGTTGTTTCCTGCTGGGAAGCCCTGAGGGTCCACCTGAGATTAGTGATAATGCATTTAGTTTCCTGACTTTGATCTTGCTGCACCTTCTGCCGGAACACTCCTCCTCTGTCTGCCTTTCTTTGCCGAATTAACTCCTAGTTATCCTCCAGATCTCAACTCAAACACCCCTGTCTCTAGGAAGCTCACGCTCTTTCTCCTCCCTTCCAGGCTTGGTCAGACCCCTTATCATTTGTTCTCATCACACTGTGCACTTTTCTTTCCAAGTACTTATCATGGTTTGATATTTTATTTAAATGTGACTTTAAATGTACATCTGATCAAAGTCCACCTCACCCATTACAGGTTCCACTAGCGTCACAGCCCATATGTATCTGCTCGTTGTCATATCTTCAATGAAAGCCAAGCTTCTGACACATACATTTGTTAAAGAATGATGCATGACTGATAATTTCAATGCTTTATGCTTCCAAGAGAGTCCATCTGACCATTCCTTACTTTTAATGGAAAGTGCTCCAGTGGGTAGTTTTGAGAGGGTTGGGGTATAGGAGGAACTTGGAGTGTGGAGGCAACCCACACAAGCCAGGGCTGACCCTGCTTCAACAACTTTGATGTCACCATTAGTTGCACGGCAGCTCATTTAGCTGACTCAGGGAAACAGGTTTTTCTTGTTAATACTGGTGTTACCAGACTCCACATAGCGCCTGACACCTAAGACACTCAATAAATATTGACTGATTAAATAGAACAAATGATGGATTTGAGATGATGAAGATGATGAGGATTTATAAGATTAGAAGGTATTACAGACCTCACAAAAACAGGCATCACGTGAGACACAATTCTTTTGAATTAGGTCTGAATTCCCTGAGTCAGTCTTGATTATTTGTTGTGTTATGGATCTACTGCATCCGTATGGAGCCACAGAGGTGATCAAAAGCCAGGTTATGCCCTATGGAAAGTCACCCTGGGAATAACAAGGACCCCACAAGTAACGATCTCCCTGATGCAAGGCAAAGATTTCCAACTCTGAAGCCTTAGAATACTGACTCAACAACACTCTTCCCTCTGTGGCCTCCCACACCCACACACACCAGTGGATGGAAATGGGTTGGTGCTTTCTTTGCTCCCTTTTGCCATTTTCAAACCTCTCTCCTCTTACAAAAAAAAAAAAAAA